TCCAATTTCAAACTTTAATGAGCATCAGAATCAGTTGGAGGACAGACCCCCCACCCCATCCAATTTCAGACTGAGTAGCTCCGGGGTAGGGTTCAGGAATTTGCAGTGTTTTTCTAACCAGTGTCTAGGTGAAGCTGGTGCTCTGATAAGGACTGGAGTAAAGTTTCCAGAGCAGTTCAGGAGGAAAGCCCTGAGGACCACCAAGGATTCCCCAGAAACACAATCACAGTTACCTGGCAACTCGCAGAATCAGAAACAGCTCCATACTGTGCCAAGCCGGGTGACGAGACGAGCTAAGATTCACATCACAATCCAAACTACAGTTACCACACAGCACTGACCCAAGTTTCGCTCTCTTTTTTAAAAACTCGATTTTCTGCCTCACAATGAAGCATTCCACATATAATTCCTTTCCTTTTTTCCCTATGTTGTTGTTAAGTGCCATTGCGTTGGTTCCCACTCATAGTGACCCTATGTAGGGCTTCTGGGATGCAGCTGGTGAATTTGAACTACCAACCTTGTAGTTCGCAGTCCAGTGCTGATCCTACAGTGTCACACCAGGGTCTCCTACAGAGAGCCTTTTATGAAGCCTTACACATGGCAAAGACAATCATGTAGATGAAGAAAAACGTCCTCCTGAGGCAGAAATGGAGTCCACAGACTCACTCAGAACTCACTCTCAGCCACGGGGCTAGTTACAGATTCTAACAGAGTGGGGCAAGGACCCTAGTGGGCTATGTGCAAAACCGCACACTGTAACAGCTCACAGGACTGCTTCTAGGCCTTCCACCCACCTAGTCACGTATGTATTTCTTAAAAGCAAATAAATATCAAGGAAGCATTCTGTGGAAAGATTTAAAAACTTAGAAATGAAACATTGGATCTGGCAGCAAAATATCCACACAGAAGTCATGACGTCATGTATGTTCCCTAATGCCAACATCTGATACCAAAGAGGCCACCTATGGAGAGGACAGAGTCCTGAGCCTCAATCAGGAACTGCCCGACTCCACAGGAATGGTTAGAAATGAAGGGAGCATCTCTCCCTAACACAGTTAAGAACTGACTTCCTCCAGGAAAACATTACATAAATATATACCATCACCTGAACATCCAAAGGGGCGGATGGATGCTAAACCTGCAAACCCAGGTGACATTATGGAATCAGGTGATCACTTACCTCTTTGACTGAGAATTCCTTCAGGCCTAAATATTTCTGGAGTCTCAAAGGCAAAAATGCAGTCACTTTCATGAACTGTTTCCAGGTCGTCTGTGTCACAAAAGGAACGGTGGAAGCCATCATAGTACATTTCTGTTAACACAATCTAAAAGCAGGGAAATTGAAATGGGTAACTGGAAAGTCAGTCAGAACTGAGCTTCCAATTCTACTATGAACTTCTCCACACTGCAGAGCTATGCACTGTGAGAGGGCTTTGAAACATCTCACACAACCCGCATTATTTGTCTTTAACGAGAAAATTATGGAAGGAAAGACTGCCTGATTTCAGATTCCCTCCATTGGCTTAGATGAGACACCAGGGATTGCAAAGCCTAGCCCACTTGTTTCACAGACAATGAAACTAGAGAAGATGTCTAACTTACCAATGTCTACACAACTTCAGTCTCAGAAGAGCACTGAGCCCCATCAAATGCCCAGAGACTTGCTCCCAATCACTGAATTTTCTTCAAGTTAAAAACAAATGTCAAATAATCGTGGATTTTTGTATTGGAAAAAAAAACTTTTATCGACACAAACATCCAACAATCAATAGGAAATGGAGTTAAATATATTAGTCATACTAGAATTTGAAAACTAATTAACCCTTTGTGACCTGTGCAACATAAATCACCAACCTACATTTTCAGTGTGACACTGTGGGTTAATGATCCTACATCACCACACCAGGAAAGAGCAAAAGATTTTGCTAGATATAGTTGCACTCGATGAAAAGATCTTCTATTCAAATTAAAAGCAAGTCAGAAAAATATGCATAAAATGATTCCATTTTTATAAAATAAAGCATGTGCACAGAAAAACCAAAGAATAGACAAGAGTACTAACAGTTAATAAGCTTTAATACTAAGAATCTTACTATAAGATACTTTCACTTTCCAAGCTACATTTCTGAAATAATGACTGAGTAAATATTTTAAGAGGAAACAAAAACAAAAAAAAAAAGGAAGACTAGAAAAGATGAGGTAGAAACAATGGCGAGATCAGAGATGTCACTACATGCTCGAGGCTACTAGTTCATGAAACAAGCACCGAGGTCCAATCTCAGCCTACCACCAACCAGCCCCATGGCCTTGAGCAAGTCACATGCCTTCTCTGGACCTCCTTCATATCGAGGGGCTAGACTGACCCTACTAGAACTCACGCTCCATGGGACTGTGATGTAGAAAGAAGCTAATGGCATATTCCAGACACAGTCCAGGAAAAATATTCCGGGCCTATTTTTTCATTTTAATGACACTAAGCCCCACATGGTTTTTCTGCTGGTAGACATGAAAGTGTAATTCAATTTCTCCAGCAGGCTAAGGTCAAACGCAAAGCTGTAATTATTTCACCACCATAAGCCATATGCCAAAGAACAGAACAGAACGGGGAGTATGAAAGAGGCACCCAGATTCGCCCTGGACACACAGCTTAGTCTCCCTCATTCTCCTGTCCTTCCCTCATCCTGAAGGTAAAGAAACAGGAATCAATGAGCTCTTTAGAGTAAGGAAGAATGTGAGCATTTTTTCAATGTGCCAGTACTTGCCCTGTGAAAATAGGGGATATTTGCTGTATTACGGAAACACCGCTGGTTATATTTGCTTTACTGTGGTAACTTCCCAAATGAGGCCACATGAGGCTAAAGTACAAAACATCTTTCTTATTCAAGCGACTTCAGAGTAGCTTCCAGAAGTTATCTAGGGAAAAGCTATACAGTCACTGAATCATCTTTCCCAGGTAGATCTTAAAATGGAAATGTTTTTCCAAATAAAGTCTTAACAGTGAATTGAATTATAACTGCATGCAAAAATAAATCAAGCCACAAACAGGTCAAAAGCATTTTTTTGGTTGGTATAAGAATGTTGTTGCTGTTAAGCACCATCTAGTTGGTTCTGACTCCGACTGACCCGTACAGGGTTTCCGAGGAGCAGCTGGTGGGTTTGAACTGTCGACCTTGTGGTTTGCAGTCCAGTGCTGATCTTCAGCACCACAGATTAGAATAGCTATTTATAAAAGGGAGTCCCTGGAAGGTACATACAGTTAAGTACTAAACTCCTAGCCAAATGACTAACAGGTTTGAATCCACACAAAGCTGCCTCCAAAGACAAACCTGGTGATGAGCTCCCACAAGGTCTTGAAACTTCTATTGTTGTTTGTTACATGCCGTTGAGTCAATTCCAACTCCAGTGACCCTGTATGGGTTTCTAAGAAGCAGCTGGTGGGTTTGAACTGGCGACCTAGTGGTTAGCAGTCTAGTGCTGATCCTACTGCACCACACCAGGAGTACTGAAACTCCTATTGAGCAGTTCTAGTCTGCATACGTGGTTGCTAAGAGGTGTTGCTAAGAGGTGGAATGAACACAATGCAATTAACAACTTAAGATTTAAAGAGCCTGGTGGCACTTTAGGTTAAGCATGAGGCAACTAACTGTAAGGTCGGCAGTTCAAACCCACCAGTCACTCCCCCATGCTGTCTGCTCCCATAATTCATGATTTATAGGGTCAGCATGAGTCAGAATCAACTGGACAGCAGTGGGCTTTGGCTTGATATGTAAGAATTACCAACAAGTAAACAAATATTTCCCTTTCTCTTAGCTAAATAAGATCAAGTGCTCTAGTTCAGTTTAATCAAACCCAAAACACAGTGACTACCCACCATGTAAAGAACATTGCACAAAGACTCCATCCTTATCACCGTCGTGGGGAGAGGGCTTGCTAAGTCAACAGTCTGCTTTCTAGACTTCATTAATCTTCAAATATCATATGCTCTATGGCCCAAATAACCATCCACAAGAATGATCAAAACAGTTCTATGTACGGGTAGTCCCTGACTTACAATACAGTCCAGTTTCCAGAGAGCAAACTGTCGTTTTGGGGTACACTTTATCATTAGTAATCTGTACTACATACCAATACACTCACACATCGGCATATTCAATGCTATGATTTACTAGTCAAAACAGTGCCTCACAGCAGGCAAGAATAACAACTGAAAAACATTTTCAACCGAGAGATAGATTTGACTTATGTTAGAACCAACAGACTCATCAGAATAGAACAGACTATCTGTCATTTTAAAATGCTACAAGAAGATCTCGATGTAATGGCATAGCTTTCTCTTTTTAAAAAAAAAAAAAATGTTGTTGTCCTTAAGTGCTGTCAAGTTGGTTCCAACAGAGTTATGCAAAAAAGAACTAAACATTGCCCAGTTCTGCAACATCCTCATTCTTACACTTGAGTCCACTGCTGCTGCTACAATGTCAATCCATCTTGTGTGTTGGGCAGGGGGGCGGGGGCTTCCTTTTTTTCACTGGACCTCCACTTTACCAAGCATGATATCCTTCTTTAGGGACTCATCACTCCTGATAATATGTCAGAGTATGAGAGACAAAGTCTCACTATCCTGGCTTCTCAGGAATTTTCTGGTTATATTTCTTCCAACACAAACTTGTTTGTTCTTCTGGAAGTCCATGGTACTTATAATCTTCTTTTCCAATAACACAACTCAAATGCATCAATTCTTCTATGCTCTTCCTTATTCACTGCCAACTTTCACATGCAAATGAGGCTACTGAAATGACCAACAAGTGGGTCAAGTGCATCTCAGTCCTCAAACTGATATCTTTGCTCTTCAACACCTTAAAAGGGTTTGTGCAGCAGATATTTCTAATGCAATACCTTGTGTGATTTCTTGATTGCTGCTTCTATGAGTGTTGATAGAGGATCCAAGCAAAATGAAGTCTTTGACAACTTCATTCTTTCCTTCATTTATTATAATGTATTTATTGGTCCATTTGTGAGGATTTCTATTTTCTTTACATTGAGGTACAATAAACACTGAAGGCTGTGATCTTTGATGTTCATTGGTAAATATTTCAAGTCCTTTTCACTTTCAGCAAGCAAGGTTACATCATCAGCATATAGTATTGTAGGTTGTTAATGACTCTATCTCAAATCCTTATGCTATGTTATCCTTCATATAATCCATCTTCTCAGATTATATGCTCAGCATACAGACTGAATACATATGATGAAAGAAGAAAACCCTGGCACACACCTTTCCTAATTTTAAACCATTCAGTGTCCCCTTGTTCTGTTAGAATGACAGCCTCTTGGTCTATGCACAGGTTCTTCATGAATACAAGAAAGTGTTCTGGATTATCCAGTCTCCACAATGTTGTCCATAGCTTGTCATGTTCCACATAGTTGAAAGCCTTTGCATAGTCAATAAAGCTTTAAGCCAAGATCACCTGACATCAGCACTGACATTCCTTACTCCACGTCCTCATCTGAATCTGCTTGAACCTCTGACAGTTCCATGTCAATGTATTATCACAGCTGTTTTAATATTATCTTTAGCAAAATTTTACTTGCATGTGCTATTGACCGATGATTTCCGCATTCTGTTGGGTCACCTCTCTTAGAAATGGGCACAAATATAGACCACTTCTAAATACTTGACCAGGCTCAGATGAAGGAGTGATTTCAGTGCAGCCTCAGCTTTCCATCTATAGTCCATCAAATTCCGAAGCCTTGTTATCTGCCAATGCCTTCAGTGCGCCTTAGACTTCTTCCTTCAGTACCACTGATTCTAAGATCATATGCTATGTTTTGAGATGATTGAACTTTGACCATTTCTTTCTGGTATAGTGAACTTTGTATCCTTCCATCTCTCTTGGATGCTCTCTATATCATTCAATATTTTGCCCATAAAATCCTTCAATATTGCAAGCCTTTGTCTTCTCAAGCTGCTCTTTGAAATTTTCTATTCAGATCTTTTACCCCCTCATTTTTTCTTAGCAGCTCTATGTTGCAGTTGCAGAGCAAGTTTCACAGTCACTTCTAACATCCATTTTGGTCTTTTCCTTCTTTCTTATTTTCTTAATGACCTTTTGCTTTCTTCCTGTATGGCATTCTTAATGCCATTCCACAACTCTTCTCGTCTTCAGTTATTAGTGTCTAATGCATCAAATCTGTTCTTCAGATGATCTCTAAATTTAGGTGGGATGTGTTCAAGGTCATATTTTGGCTTTCTTGAACCTGTTTAAATTTTCTTCAACTTCAGCCTGAACTTGCATTTGAGCAATTGATGGTCTGTTCCACAATCTGCCCTTGTTTAGTTTGATAATATGGAACTTTTCCACTGTTCTTTCCACAGATTTAGTCAATTTGATTACTGTGTATTCTACCTGTGGTGGTCCATTGGTATAGTCATCTTTTATGTAATTTTAAAAAGGTATTTGCAATGAGTAAGTCATTGGTCTTGCAAAATTCTAGCATAATTTCTATCATTAAAACCATTATTTTACAATTACTGATCCTTCCTCTGTTTTCAACCTTTGCATTCCAATCACCAGTACTTATCAATACCTCTTGAAGGCATGTAAGATTCTGGCAGAATTCTTCAATTTCATCTTCAGTGGCTTTAGTGGTTGGTGCCCACATTTGAATAACAATAGTATCACCAGGCCTTCCTTATAAGCATGTGGATATAAATCTATCACAGAAAGCTTATAATTCAAAATAGGTCTTGAAATGTTTTTGATGACAAATGTGACATTATTCAATTTGTCATTCCCAGCATAGTAAACAATATGATTGTCAGATTCAAAATGGCAAATACCAGTACATTTTAGCTTACTAATACCTAAGGGTCCTAGTGTGGCTACATAGGATAAGCACTGGACTAAAAGTTAATCTGAACTACAAGGTTAGTGGTTCAAACTCACCAGCTCCCCTCAGGAACCCTATACAGAGTCAGAACTGACTCAACGGCACTTAACAACAACTACAATATCTAGAGAAGGAGCTCTGGTAGCGTAGTGATTACGAATCAGGCTGTGAACCTTAAGGTCAGCAGTTCGAAACTACCAGCCGCTCCGTGGGAGAAAGATGAGGCTTTCTGCTCCCGTAAAGATTTACAGCCTCGGAAACCCTGTACAGGGTCGGTCGCTATGGGTCGGCACCGACTCGACGGCACTTAACAACAACAAAAATACCTGGATACCAGTTTTTATCTGTTTCATTTTGACCACTTCCAATTTTCCTGTAGTCATAATTCGTTCATTCCATGTTCTGATCACGAATGAATGATTATAGCTGTTTCTCCTCATTTTTTGTTTTACCCCATCAGCAAATGAAGGTTCCAAAAGCTTTACTCCTTTCACATCATCAAGATCAACTCTACTTTGAGGAGGCAGCTCTCCCCTAGTCGTATTTTGAGTCATTTCCAAACTGGAAGGGCTCATCTTCCACTTTATCTGACATTATTCTGGTATTATTCATAATGTTTCAATATTTACTATTCTGATGCTATCTGACAGTGTTCATTTACTATTCACAAGGTTTCCAGTGGCTAAATATTCAGAAGTAGCCCGTCTCTCCTTCTTCCTAGTCTGTCTTAGTTCTGAAGCTCAGCATGGGTGATCCCGCTCGTATTTAAAATCCTGGTGTCACAGCTTCCAGCATCACGGCAACAAGCAAGCTGCCAAAGTGTGACAAACTGACAGATGAGTTGTAGGGGAAATACACACACACATATACACAAACTAAATGAAGCATAAGTATTTATGTTTGTTTTTCTCTTATGAGAAAAACAACTGATTTTCTCAACTGATTTTAAAGTTCTATCAAACCATATTGGGCAGAGAATTATTTTTTTTTTAATTCCCAGAGAACAGCAAGTAATACTTCTGTGATTCAGGTGTAACCAGTCTTAGCAGGCTTAGTAGTACCTGATCAGTGGGAATCTTTGTTTCCATAGATACTGCTTCCCGAAGTCTGGCAACGGTCCCAGACAGAGGCACAGCCACGCCGATCCTCATGCAGTGTGAGCATTTCCCTTGGTACACGACAGTGACACAGAGAGGCCTAGACAGATCAAAGTCACATCTTCCCATTAGTCACCCAGTTCAATTAAAACATAAAAGAGGCACAAGCAGCCTGACTGAAAAACAACCCCAAACTGAAGCTAACCCACCCCTTTATTTGGAGGCCAAACAGACCCTACTGAACACTTAAGAAATCTTTGGGGAAAAAGTCTTCACAGAACTAAAATATAGCATATCAATACTGGGTTCTGGGTTCTGTATTTTGTTTAAATCATTGTAACACTAGGACATTTTGAGAACCGTTCAAAACAAAGCAATTAAAGAGCAATGAAAAGAGGAGGAGGAAATGGGCTGGTGACTCTTAAGGGGCACGGAGTTTCTGCTCAGTGATGGAGATGTTTGGACAAGAGGAGCGGTGATGGTGCCATCACATGGTGGCTGTGACTAATGCCACTAAATTTATACAAAATGGAAGAGACAGCAAGTGTTTTCTTTATATACATTTCACCATAATAACAAAAAATCGTTATGTGCAATGGAAGGCTTCTAGGTTCTCTAGCGCCTTCCCTGATCCCATCCCGCCCATGGCTGTTAACCAGCTGAACCAGACTACAGCACTGTTTTGCTTGCCTCATGCACCTGCTCACTCTGCAAACTCAAGCATTTATTGCCACAAAGTATATATAATGCCAACATTCAATTTTTGGAGTCTTGGTGTGGCGCTGTAGGATAAGCGTTACACTGCTAACCTAAAGGTCCAAAGTTCAAATCCAACAGTCACTCCTTGGAAACCCTACACAGGATCACTATGTGCTGGAACCAACTTACTGGCACATATAACAACATACTCAATTTATCAATTCCTTTCCTTGTCTAATTCAGTATGAAGGCCTAACAGAAAATTGCCCAGGAAAAGGAATACTATAGAAGTGGATTTATTGTCTATTTTACTACATGTTCTTACCTCGTGTGTGGTAGAGGAATTGGCAAAGAAATGCAGAGGAAAGGGTCAAAGGTGTTGCTCTGTTTCTGACAATGAGGACAAGTCAAAGACGATCTTCAAAAACAGAAATTTAAGGCACTTAGATTAAAATCATGTAGAACTGTGTCAAACAGACGAATTAAGAGGGGAAAGTGGTTTGCTCATACCTGTACTGGGCTTGAAAAAGTTCTTGTACAAAAGTGCTGCAGACAGGGAAGGATGGTCCCTCGGGCATTATATCAGTCTCTGAAGGTGGCTGTAAAAAGGAAGCACAATTTCACAGCTAAAAAGTGCCCATTCTTGATTGAAGATAAACCTGAAAAGCCATCAATGTCCTGTACTCCTTCCACAAGACCTGCATCAGTCAGCATGCTTTGTTTAGTGAGACATCCCTGGCAAGACGTGGGCCACGCAGACCCATCCGCACAAGGGTCCTCCCTCAGACGGACTTTATCCCGGTGCCTTGACTCCTAGTCAGGCGGCCGGATGGTTCTCCTTCCTCAGGCTGCTCCACTCTCCCTCCAACTCTCCAAGTCTCCCCTCCAACCACATCAAGAACCCTGATTCCTCCCAGGCCTTAACTCTCTAGCACCTCTACTGTTCTGTGTGGTGCCTAGTAGGCAAATTGATACAGTGGGTTCAACAATGGATTCAAACATGGCAACAATTCTGAGGATGGCGCAGAGCTGGGCAATCTGTTACTTTAAGTCAGAACCAACTAGATGGCACCTAACGAAAATAACCACTACAAAATTCTACTTCAAATTTTACTTAATCTTTTCATGCCCCCCACTAACAATCATTTACTAAGCATCTGCTACCACATGCAGGGAACACTGTGCCACACATTAAGGGTAACAAGATAAGAAAGACACAGCGTCTGGCCTTGAGCACGTCTCAAGTGGGTGGGAGGATCAGCCATAACACAGCATGATATAAACTGTATCACTGTGTGCAAAGTGTTCTGGCACGAAAAAAAAAAAAAAAAAAAAAAAACAGAATCAAAGAAATTTCACAACTTACCCAAACTAGAAATTTAAATACAGAGCAGATTTATCAAAGACTTTAACAAGCTGTGTGAGGGAAACAACTCTTTGGTCATAATTATGTCTATTACCAGAATCATTTTATGCACCACATTAAAGTTACATGCATAAAACTTGAGAATGAGTACTCACATTTCTCAGGTAAGAATTTTTTGGTAGTTCAGTTGCTATGCACAAATCTAATCCTAATAAAAGAGACATCACAACATTTACCTTTTGACTGCATATGTATTCAATCTGTATGACCACATCTTCCTGGAACAGGGAGTACATCTCTGACATAACTTGTTTTCTGAGATGGAATGACTTAATTTTACTCTAAAGCTAAGTCATGCATGCATGCACAACTTTCCTTTCTTATTAAACTGTAAGCTCCTTGGGGACAGAATCTCTGTATCTTACACTACCAGCAGTTGTTGTTGTTGTTGTTGTTAGTTGCTATCAAGTTGATTCTGACTCATGGAAACCCCATGTGTGCAGAGCAGAGCTGCTCCACAGCGTTTTCACAGCCACGATCTTCAGAAAGCAAGTCACCAGGCCTCTTTTCCAAGGCACTTCCAAGTGGGTTCAGACCACCAACGTTTCAGCCAGTAGAGTACATAAGTGTCTATGTCACAAAGTACAATAGTAAAAAGGCAAAATATCCATTGGTGATGGTGGTGGTGTTCCGTGGCGTCAATTCTGACTCATAGCGACCCTGTACAGGGTTTCTGAGGCTGTAAATCTTTACAGAAAGATTTACAGAAAGCCTCATCTTTCTCCCACAGGACAGCTGTTAGCTTTGAACTGCTGACCTTGAGGTTAGCAGCCCAATTCGGAACCATAGTAAAAAGGCAAAATATCCATTAAGTAGTCATTATATTTTATACTCTCCCAAAGCTTAGTCAATTTCATCATATTAAATATAAACAACAACAATTCCTTGGTCTGGGAGGAGAACCTATATGCTCCTGACTCTGGTCACTGACCAGCCATCAAACACATGCTCATAACTCCCTGACTGGCCACCTAAATGTGAGCCCTCACCTTCAGAGGAGGCTGGCCACTCTGCTTCACAGAATGATTGAGGTCTTCATGAACTCGGTCCAAAAGCCACAGCAGAAACTCCTGGGCATCATGCTGGGAATTGCCTCGATACTGCAGTGCATTCTTTGACACAATACTCTGCACAAATAAACAAATCAAGATGGACAATTTTCATTTCCTACCTTTAGAGATCAGCTATTTACTCACAATCCCAAAAGAGGAATGTAAGATCTCAAGGGTGCTAGCAAGCAATGCAAAAGCAGATACTCAGTCTGAAACACCCACCTCCAAAAGTCAACACAAAATTGACCTATGCCCCAGCAACTGCACTCCTCGGTATATTATATTCAAGAGATTTGGATGCAGAGGACTCGAGCAGAAATATGTGCACCCACCAATGTTCATGGCAGCTCTAGTCACAACAACTACAAGATGGTACAAGCAGTTCCAGTGTTCCTGAGCACACGAATCGATCAAATGTGGTATATTCATACAATGGATTATTTAACAATTAGGAGAACAGACATTCTGGTATATGCCACCGTATGTATGGATCCTGAAAACATGCTGAGTAATATAAGTCACATACAAAGCAACAAACAGTATGTGATCCCACTGTTATGAGATAGCTAAAGCAGGAAAAGCTACTGAAAACAAAGTTTAGTGGTGACCAGGGACTGGAGGGAGGAAGAAATGGGGGTTACTGCTGACAGGGTACTGAGCTTCTGTTTGGGGTGATGTAGAACTTCAAGAAACGCATAGTAGTAAAGGCAACAACGTGGCAAACATAACTAATGTCAATGAATTGTATACTTAAAATGTTATATAGTTACCACAGTTATTTTTTAAACCCACCCACCACAAGAACATGTACCAAAAATCTTAAAATGCACATACTTAGCAATCCTACTTTTGTTGTTAAATGCTGCTGAGTCAGTTCCGACTCATAGCGACCCTGTATAGGGTTCAAGAGGAACCTGGTGACACTGAATTGCTGATCCTGCAGTTCAAACTGACCTTGCAGTCCAGTTCATTAACCCACAATGCCACACCAAGACTCCACCCTCCTTTGAGGAGTTTATTTAAAGGAAACATCAGAAGATTGTGCCAAAACTTTTAAGACAATATTCATCAGAATTATAATGATTTAAAAACTGGTTAAATAAATCATAGTACAACTACATAAGATAAACAGCTCCCTTAAGTTCGGAGGAAAGTTTATGAATCAGCAGTGTACAGTCTGTATTCATACAGAAAAACTGCCTATGGACACACACACACACACACATACAAATACAAAGCTACAAAATGACATACAGTAAGAGAGCAACACTGTTCTCTCTCTCGATGATGGAATTAGAAATGATTTTTTTTCTTTTTCTTTTCTAATACTATAAACTTCCTATAATGAATATATATTACTTACATAATAAAGTTGTCAAAATAGCCTTGCTTCCAACTTTACAATAAGGTTTATAGTGACTTTGAAAACCCATCCCCAAAAGCATGTACCAAAAAGCTTAACATACACATACTCAGCAACCCTACTTTTAATGAGTATACTTAAAGGAAATATCAGAAGAGCATGCCAAAATTTTTAAGACAATATTCATGAGGAAAATAACAATTAACAAATTGATAGCAACTTGAAAATCATAAAAAATGAAAATTGGTTAAATAATCTTTATTTAAGATAAAGTATAGCTACAAAAATCATCATTCATTCAATAAGGATTTAACAATGCACTGGACAGCAAGGTCAGTTTGAACCACAAGGACAATGGTTCAAATTCACCAGCTGCTCCTTGGAAACCCTATACAGGGCTGCTATGAGTCGGAGCCAAATCAAAGGCCCCTAACACCAGCAGCAATGTACTAAAGCATTCTAAGGGAGACAAAAAAATAATGCTTAAATACAACCATGATGGAGAGAATAGTGGATGACTGGAGCCAGTTTTAAAGAGTTTGAATTAGGGTCAGAGATTTCCATATGAGCTCATATTTAGTTTATTATAGGTAAACATACACAGATAAGAGAAAAGGTTAGAGGTCCATACGTACATGGGTTAATGTACATTCCTATTTCCTAGCTCTGGCTGCTAAGAAGGCACAGAAGCAGTGACACCCCCAATAACAGTGGCCTATCTAGACCCACGTCTTGCTTTCCAACACTATTCTTCAATAAAACGGAATAAGGCTCTTTGGAGAAAAAGTTAATTCAAGGACTGGGGCATAGAATATACAGGATTAATAAAGAGCATCTTGTAGGGCCAAATATTTGGGGCGGGGGGGCCCACAGGCGGAACATGTTAATGGGACACAAGAACCAGCCTGAAAGAGTTCACAATGGGCAAAGAAAGAGCAATTTGAGCAACAAGATAAACAATGCAGTACTGGATTATAACAGCTCAAAACTGAAATTAGTATGAGGAGGTCACATTTATACAAATCAAAGACTGGTTGATTGGTTGGTTGGTTGGTTGGCTGGTTAGACAGATGGATGGGCAGATGGATACACAGACAGATAAATATAGTCTAATAGGTTGAGAGATGGACAAACAACCCAGCATGCACTCAGGCACACAGGAAAGTAGGTGAGCAAAAACGAGTGGGGGAGAAGAGACAAAGCTCCCTTACTGAAAAGTTGCATGTAATTGGTTGATACACCCCGCTCCAGGAGTGGAGCTCATCCCACACACACCCCACACATACACACACACACACTTCCCCACTGTTACCAGCTCAGTGACTTGCTTCCTAAGATTCGAGAAAGTGAGTAGAAAGAAATTTTATAGTGGAGAAACCTGTTCCTACTATCTCAGCCAGCATGACTACAGTGAAACATTACCAGTGATAAGCATCCAAGAAGCTGAATGAACCCCAAACAGGATCACACACAAAAATCACCAAGAACTATCATAATCAAACTTTCCAAATTCTGAGAGCATCTAAGGAAAAACAAAAACGTTTTCCTACAAAGGAGAGCCAATAAGACTAAACCCTAAATTCTCAGAAGAAACCATGTAGGCAAGAAGGTAATGGTATGACATACACAAAACTCTGTAAGAAAAAAATTACCAACCAAGAATTACATACCCAGCAAATGTGTCCCTTAAATATGACCATGAAATTAGGACATTCCCTGATAAACAGAAATTAAGGGGATTTGTAATGATTAGACCAGCTTTATAAAAATTTCTAAAGGGTGTTTTTTGGACTGAGTATCAACAACAGCAGACTATGAACTGATATTACCATACATGGCAACACCACCCAAAACTCAATCCAGGTATGTTATTAGATACAGTCATGTGGATACCGATTCATAGTGACCCTATGCACAACAGAACGGAACTCTGCCCTGTCCTGTGCCGATCTCACAATCATTGCTACGCTTGCTGTTCTCACTGTGCAAATCTGTTTCATTGGGGTATTGCTCTGAACCTCCACTTTACCAAGCATGATGTGCTTCTCCAACGATTGGTATCTCCTGATAATATATCTGAATTTTTCAATTGAGAAACATAGTCTGGTGAGCCTGACTTCAAGAAGCATTCTGGCTGTACTTCTCCCAAAACAGATTTGCTTGTTCTTCTGGTTGTTGTTGTTGT